GAGCGTTTGACGCCCAGGAGGCTGCCGTAGATCGGATTTTACATTTCTGTTTCAGTGCTCCTGACTGTTCGCAAAAGCGATCCAAAGAAGGGCTTTGGGAGACTTCCCTTCGTTCAACTTAAGTTTCCTGGGGTGCTCCAGTTAAATGTGTGATCCCCGTTTTTAGAGTCCAAATTCTTCCTCATTTTGCACCTCCTCAAAGCAAATGGCCTGAGATGTGCATATTGTAAGGGTGCGGCTCCGAGGCTATAGCAGTAACCGGAGCAGCAAGGTGGCTCCTGCCAAGGAGGCTGTGGAGAGAAACGGGAAACTTCTCAGAGAAGGAGTCCCAGGGTAACAGACTCACACTATGGTGAGCTGAGTGAGTGTTCTAGTCTCTCTTAGGTAGGTTTCTGTAGTTAGTGGAGTGGGAGGAAGGGAGGGGTTTCAGTGTGGCCTGAAATGTTGCTTAGAGGTTTAGATTTCCAATTTTTATTCGTTTTGGTTTGATTCTTATGAGGTATGAGAGAAATTAAAACAGCTCTTATTACACCTTCATGGAAACAGTGGATCTTTCCTGCCTATCTGTTGAAAACCAACTGAATGGACAGATTAGTGCCTAAATACTTTTCGGTGCCTCTCTTCCCAGAAATCTCTGCAAGGGAGAAGGAAGGATACTATTTAACTGTATTCTAAGGCCAAATTATAAGCCGTTCTGTACTCTTATTTGAAATGACCAGATCAGTGTCTCACATGAGGCAAGTTTATGTATTTTGTAGCAAGTGATAGCATGGCCCCGATAACAATATTACAAACAAAACAACCTCAGTTTGTATAGTCCTTGCTGACCTGGAGCTCACAGAGATGCATCTGCCTCTGCCTCCAAAGTGTTGGGAAAAAGGCATGGGCCACAGTATCTTATAGTTTCATCAGAAATCTCCCATTATCTAGCTGATGCCTTCTTCCTTTAGAAGTTTATTACATGTGCCCCATTTATTCTATTTCAGCACAACTGGAGGGGCACTCAGGTATCTAACTTAGGGTCTGATTCCTTTCACACCGATGGACAGATAGGGCATCTCCAATCACAAGTATTTCTTTTTCATATTCCAGTTTCTAGAAGGTAAACAGGATGTCTAAGATTATTTAGACCAGCTTTATACCAGCTTTATACCCACAACATGTAAAGGTCAAATACAGCAGATGTAATCACTAGTTTCCTTTTTGTTTTTTGAGACAGGATTTTTCAAACAGCTCTGGCTGTCCTTGAACTTCCTTTGTAGATCAGGCTAGCCTCAAACTCACAGAGATCCTCCTGCCTCTGTATCCCGAGTGCTGGGATCAAGGGCGTGTGCCACCACCTCCCAGCATCACTAGTTTTCCTAATGGTACCAAAATTATGTTATCTGTACTTAATCCATAAAATCTAGCTCCACAATGGTGTTACTTAAAGACAGAAAGAAAGGCTTTAGTATTTGGGCAAGTCAATCTCTTTCTAGGAACTGTACATTTAAAATTCCTTTGGGAGAAATCTGAAGAAGTTAATTATGAACCAAGCCTGTGGTACACTCTAGTAATTTTTTTTGTGCGTGGTTGGATTTGGCAGGAATTGTTGAAGGTCAAAGCTGTCTGGGCTATGGAGAAAATTTAAGATTGTTGGGATTGCAGACTTGAGTCCCCATGCTGGGTTTGCTAGCCTACTTTATAGCAGACAGCTCTCCAATCAAATCTGTGGTCACCCCCACCCCATTTCCTTTCTCTGGCTTTTTTGAACAGGATCCTAGGAGTTACTGGGCCATGTCTTGTCCTCTACAGTGCTATTATTTCTTGTCTTGGGATTTCTTAGTTCTGTGTTTCCAGTTTTGGGGGATGGAGTTCCACTTCATTCCCATATTTGTCCTACTGGCAAATGGCCCTTAAGAGACTTCTGAGTTAGTGAGCAATTAATAAGCATATTCCCTTAAAATGTGGATGGGTGAGTACTGTGGTGGGCTGCAGAGAACATAGCTGTTCTCTGTCCTCTCACCTCCACATGTGTGCTCTGGCATGTGCACACCCATGTACACATGTATCATATACACGAAGTAATTATAACTAAAAAATTAAAACAAATTTACATGTGTGTGCACGTGTCTGCGTGTGTGTAGGTGTGATGGTGCCTACAGAGGTCAGAAGAGGGTGTTGGATCCTCTGGATTTGGAGTTACAGGTGGTTGTAGGCCGTCTAACATGGGTGCTGAGAACTTAACTTGGCAGAGCAACAAGCACTCTTAGCTGCCAAGCCCCTCTTCAGTCCATCCTGCCAACCCTCCATTTTAATATAGTGTCTTTTGTGTGACCCAGGCTAGTGTGGAACTTCAAGTCCTCCTTTCTGATGTTCCCAGTGCTGGGATTGTGGGCAGGTGTCAGCATACCTGCTTCTGTTTTCTTTTTCTTTCTTTCTTTTTTTTTTTTTTTTTGTGGGGTCTTTGATTGTACAGAAATTCTTTAGTGTGTGTGTGTGTGTTTTCCTTTTATTTAAATTAGAAACAAGCTTGTTTTACCTGTAAATCCCTGTTCCCTCTCCCTCCCCCCCCCCACCTCCTGCCCCAACCCCTTTCTGCTCCCCAGGGAGGGTGAGGCCTTCCATGGGGGAAATCTTCAAAGTCTGTCATATTTGGAGCAGGGCCTAAAACTTACAGAAATTCTGAACACACACACACACACACACACACACACACACACACACACACACACACACACACACTTAATTTTCCCCCAAATGATCTGAGCCTCACTGTGTAGACCAGACTGACCTCAAAATTGGAATGATCCTCCTGACTGCCTCCTAAGTGCTGGGATTACAGGTGTGTGCCACTGAGCTCAGTCTTTTTTTTTTTTTTTTTTTGAGAGGAGGTAGTTCTTTTGAATTTTTTTTAAGCTCTATTTGCTTACCAGGTGTGTGCTCCAATAATGTGTAGAGGTCAGACAACAATGGGAGTTGGTCTCTCTGTCATGGGGGTGCCAGGGATCAAACTCAGGTTGTCAGGTTTGGTAGCAAGTGACTGAACCCACTGAACTAGTTTGTCTTTGATATTAACTGTATTTGTTGTTGTTTGAGGCATGGTCTCCTGTAGACCAGGTAGTCTTGAACTTGCTATGTGGTCTAGGATGACCTGGAGCTCCTGCCTCTACCTGTAAGTACTGGGATTGAAGGGAAGAACCATCACCTAGTAAGTCTTTATGATTTGTGTGGATGGTATGAGGCAGGAATCTAGGGGATTTTGTTTGTTTTTAATATGGCTTCTTAGTGCTTCACTGTCATTTATATGCCTAAGATTTATTTTGATCTCTGTTTACAAATGGAGGAGGTGAAGCCAGGTGGTGGAAGAGCATGATTTTAATCCCAGCACTCAGGAGGCAGAGGCAGGCAGATCTCTGGGTTTGAGGACGGCCAGGGCTACACAGGGAAACCCTCTCTTGGAAAACTTAAAATAAATAAGTAAATAAATAAAATGGAGTAGTTGATCTGGTGTTGTTTATTGGTCTTGTACATTTTTTTTTTCTGTTTTACAGATTCTTTTTGTCATTTCAAATAAACTCCCAGGTGAACTATGAAAGATTATGATGAACTTCTCAAATACTATGAATTATATGAAACTATTGGCACAGGTAATATTAATTTTTTTTTCCCTTGGAGGGGAAGTACAGATAAAATAACTGGAAGTATGGTCTATTTGGGTAGTTATGAGCTTTTTACTATAATTGATGTAGCTTAATTTTTTTCTACCTATAATTACAAATTTTATTGTTATTGTTGCCTATGATGTATGTGAAACACACATGTCACAGCATGCAGTAGAGTAGGTTCTCTTCTTCCACATTTATGTGGGTTCTGGGACTGGAATTCAGGTTTCCAGGCTTTCCTACTAAGTGACTTTACCTGCTGAGCCATCTTGCCTGATCTTCTACTTTAATAAGCAGAGCAGAACAGAGCAAGGGCAGAATATTAGAGAAAGCCTCAGTTCATTGTAGAAAGCCATGGGGGGAGTTTCCAGCTAAGGAGCGATTTGACCTTGTTTTCAAAGGGTCATCCTGGCTTCTTGAGGGTGAAGACATTGGTGGGAGAGGGCAAGGGTAGAGGTAGAAAGCTGTTGAGAAGCAATTGCAGTGAGGAGAGTGATACTGGAGATGATGGCAGTGTGTTAGGATGAAAGGAGTTATACGGTAAGATATGCAAAGTGCACACATGTTAATGAGTTTTACATGAACACGTCATGCATTACCTGCTCAGAGAAGACACGGCCATTTCTAGTCAGTACCTGTTTCTTTCCCACAAGGAAGTTGTTGGTTTGTTTCCCCCAAGGTAAGCAGGTGGGATTTGCTCGAGAGTTATACATGCTAGAGAAGTGAAGTTCCGGGATTTTGTGCCCAGCCATCAGGGAAAACAGTGGGGAAGACGTTGGAAGAGACTTTAGGAAACTTCTTTCTGGATGTGTTACTATCTTTCGGACAACTTGAGATATTTAATCAGCCTTGATCTAGTTTTAAAACATAATTGCTTACCTTCATAGTTTTTATGCTCAGTGAAGTTATATATAATTTGTCTTCAGTCTCAGTTGTGTTCTAGCATGTTAATAAGTAAAAGTTAATTGCAGTGTTAAGCACAGAGTATATTTCTTCTTTTTAAAAAAGATTTATTTTATTTGTGTGTATGTGTGCGTGTGTGTGCGTGTATGTTTGTGTTTGTCTGAGGAGCTCAGAAGAGGGTGTTGGATCCTCTGGAGCTGGAGTAATAGACAGGAGCTGCCTGATATAGGTGCTGGTAACTGAACTCTGGTCATCTGTAAGAGTGGCAAGCACACTTTAATTTGTTAGCCATCTCTCCAGCTCCCATGTAGTATATTTCTAAATAAAGAGTGAGGGCTTTCCTCCTTCCCCTACTTCTTTACTATTTATTCTTTATTTATTGTTCATTGTAGGGAAAAAAAAACCACAAAACTCCATCTAGAATAGTGGTTCTCAATCTTCCTAATGCTGGGGCTCTTAAATATAGTTCCTTATGTTGTGGTGACCATCAAATCAAAAAATTATGTTCGTTGCTGCTTCATAACTATAATTTTGCTACTGTTATGAATTATAAGTATCTGTGTTTTCTGATGGTTTTAGGCAACCCCTGTGAAAGGGTTTTTTGACTCACAGAGGGGTTGTGTGACCCACAGGTTGAGAACTGGTTATCTAGAAACATTGAAAAGAATATGGAGTTATGGCTAACCTGTTGGAAGTCACAGAAGAAAGACAAACTTCTAGGAAAATGTGGCTTAAAAGGGCCTTTTTAAAATCTGTGCTTGGGCCCTTGTTTATGTCCTATTCATTTTTTTATATTTAGGTGGCTTTGCAAAGGTCAAACTTGCCTGTCATATCCTCACTGGAGAAATGGTAGCTATAAAAATCATGGATAAAAATGCACTAGGGGTAAGTTTGAAACTATTTTTTTTCTTAAATGTACAAAATAATGTGCTCTACTGTGATACTTTTATATATGGTAGTTATAGTACATGACATTAAGAAAAAAGTTACTTTGAGTCAAGGTTTCGCTATATATAGCCCTGGTCTTGAACTAACTTTATGTCAAGATTGGCCTTCAACTTGTAATTTTACTGCCTTAGCCTCATGAGTTTTAGGATTGCTGGTGTGTGTCATCACACCTTACTAAGAAATATGTATATCTTTTCATACATATATATGCATAGCATGTGTGGGCACACATGTAGGTATGCATGCTCGTGTATGTGTGCGTACAGAGGCCTGAGGTTGATACTGGAAATCTTCATTGATTGCTTTCCACTTTATTCTTTTCTGAGGTTAGGTCTCTCAATTAAACCCAGAGCTTGTTGATATGGCTAGTCTTGCTAGACAGCTGGATGAGGGATCCTGTCTCTGTCTTCTGAAGCTGAATTCTAAGCCAGCTGCCATACCTATTTGACATTTATATGGTTTCTGGGGACCCAAATTGTAACCATCTTGGCTTGTGTAGCAAAATGTAAGGGTCTAGAGACTCAAGAGGTTTCATCAGTTAAGAACACTTGTACTTTCAGAGAACATAAGTTCAATTCTTATCAACTATGTCCGGTACTCCCAACCATCTGCAACTCCAGTTTCAGGGGCTCCAACTCCTCTGGCTTCTTGTAAGTGCACACACGCTTATAATTAAAATAGTAAAATATAATTAAAAATAGTAATAAAATTCTTTCCACTATTTTCTATGTAAGAGTGAACATTGCCTGGTGGTGATGGCACATACCTTTAATTCCAGCACTCTGGAGGCAGAGGCAGGCAAGTCTTTGAGTTTGAGGCCAGCTTGGTTTACAGAGCAAGTTCTGGCATGTCTAGGGCTACAAAGAGAAACATTGTTTTGAGAAACCAAAACCAAAAAGAAAAAAAAAAAGAAAAATGAGAACATGAATTTGGATCCCAAGCACCCACATAAAAAGCTGAGTGTGTGATGCCTTTGTACACCTATAATCCCAGTGCTGGCAAGGTGTATACCATCTAGCCTAATTGGTGGGTACCAGGTTCAAAGAAAGACCCTGTCACAAAAAACATGGGTAGTGATTAAGGAAGACATACAATGTTGACCTCTGGTCTCTACATGCATCTGTACACTTGTGCAAACACATGGATTTATACATATGCCACACACATATACACCACACTGAGAAAGTAAAGACCTGTAGTTTGGATCCAGGCATGTTGGCACAAATTTATAATCCCAGCATTTATGAGGCAGAAGTAAGAGGATTGCTCCAAGTACAAGGTCAGCTTGGTCCACATAGCAAGTTCAAGGCTAGTCAGAGCTCTACAGTGAGACCTCATTAACAGCCATAACAAAAAGTGCTTTTACAATTAATTAGTTCCTTTTCTTTCTTTGAGATTCCTTTCTTGTTCTTTAATCTAGACTGACCTATAAGCTCACTTTGTAACCCAGGTTGGCCTCAGTATTTCAGTCCTCCCCAAACCTTCTGGTAGATAGGATTCTATCAGGCTTGCTAGTGGGTGTTTCTGTACTTTGTTTGAATGGTCACCTTCTATGGTAGTTCAAGATTCTTTCAGGATTGCTGGGCATTGTATTCTTGACCTACTGTCAACTAGCTTTTTGTTACTGTGACAAATACTTGAGGGAAACAATTTAAAAGGGGAGGGGGAAGATTGAGTTTTGTCCACTGCTTTGGGCCTGAGGTGAGGTTGAATATCATGATGGCTTGAGCATGAGCCCCTGTGTCATCCAGGAAACAGAGAGCATGCCTCTGCTAGTGGCATCCTCTATCCCACTCACGCCCCAGCTTATTGAGTGGTGCCACCGTGTTCAGTGTGGGTCCTCTTTGAGTCCCCAGATATTCCTAGTGTGGGCTTTGCTAATCTCCACTCACTCAAACGGACAGACTAACTGCCACACTCACATTGAGCTTGCTTTCATAAAATCCTCAGAACACTAATTTTGTAATGTTTTTCAGCAGCTTCTTTTAGAGCTATTGATAGCTTTTCCTACCTAGTATTAAAAATGTTGCTATTGATACTTGGAACACTTGCCAGGAAATTTGTTGCTTAACTGAACTGATGTTTTGTCGAACAGAGCGATTTACCCCGAGTCAAAACTGAGATGGATGCCCTGAAGAATCTGAGACATCAGCATATATGTCAGCTCTACCATGTGCTAGAGACAAAAAATAAAATATTCATGGTTCTTGAGGTTAGTAGTGGTTCCCTGGCAGCCAAAAGTATTTGCTTGCTTTTTCAGTAGCTGAGAGAGAATTATATCTTCTTACCTGAAAAATTAGAATCAGTGTTTGTTCTAGTTTAATTTCTGTTGCCATAAAATAGTCCTCATAAGAAGTTACTTAGAGGAGGTGAGTTAGCCACAGTTCAGAGTCCCAGGAAGTCAGCGCAGCACAGACCTAGCAGAGCAGAGGGAAAGAAGGAAATGCTTGCTTTCTGCTTGTGCTCAGCTTAACTTCCTCAGTTTTTCACAGCTCAAGATGCCTGTCTAGGGAATAGTACCACCCAGAGTGGGCTTCCCACATCAGTGAACTTAATAAGGATGGTTTGCCACAGACATGCCCATAGGCCAACCCAGTGTAGACAGTCCCTCACTGCAACTCTCCTCCCAGGTGATCTAGGCTGCGTTGTTAATAAAGCTGACCCTTAAATAACTTACTGGTTCTTTTCCTCACCTTTATGTGGGTTCCAGGAATCAAAGCCATTTTGATAGCCCCTTTTGTGCCTATTATTAGTATATATTAATTATACATAATGTCTTTCACTGTGATGTTTAATATGTACATATTTATGTACATGAAATGTATTTATTTTTATGTTTGAGTATTTTGCCTGTATACCATGTGTGCATCTCGTGCCTATGGAGGCTGCAAGAGGGTGTTGGCTCCTCTCCTCTGGGGCTGGAGTAATAGGTGGCTGTGAGCTACCATGCAGCTACTGAGAAATGAACTTAGGTCTTCTGCAAGAGCAGCTAGTGTTCTTAACATCTCAGCCATCTCTCCTGCCGCTATAAAATGTTGTTTGACCATATCAATCCTCTGTTACCTTCTCTCTATTACCACTGGTCCCCTTCCTCTTCTCAACTAGCCCCGCTTCTGCTTCCTCATCTTTTTTTTGATAACCCAGTGAGTTTTTCGAGGGTTTCTTATAAGAAGATGGGTACCTTACCAGTGGCTACATCACTGAAGAAAATGTTTCTCCTTTCTCCTCCCTTATCAACCATTGACTGTATAAATCCCAGAGAGGGGATTTTGTAAGCTCTTCCTCTTAATTACTTGTATGTCGTCTATAGTTATGTGTGTGTGTGTGTGTGGGGGGGGGTTGGTTTTTCGAGACAAGGTTTCCCTGTGTAGCTTTGGAGGCTGTCCTGGAACTAGCTCTTGTAGACCAGACTGGTCTCCAACTCACAGAGATCCTCCTGCCTCTGCCTCCCAAGTGCTGGGATTAAAGGCGTGTGCCACCACTGCCCGGTGTGTGTATGTTTTGTGGTGTGATCTGTATACACATGTGTCAGACATGTGGAAACTCAGTGCCTTTCTATATTATTTTCTTCCTTACTTGTTAAGACAGAGCCTCTCACTGAACAGGGAGCTCACTGTTTAATTTAGGCTGGCTGGCCAGGGAGCCCCAGGATCTGCTTGTCTTTGCCTCCTGGATGCTGGATTACAGATGTGTATTGCCAACTGCAGGCTTTTATGTGGGTGCTTAGGGATCTGAACTCAGGTCCTTTTGCTTGTTCAGCACACACTACCCACAAAGCCTCTACTTGGCCCCTAATGGGCTCTTCATAGGGAGATTGAAAATCACTGTTCTTTGGACAATACCAGCAATAATTACTGGAGAAACAATAATTACTGCTGCTTTTCATTTTTAATTTTAGATGACTATTCTAAATGTGAGTACATTAACTGGAGAATGAGTTTTAGTACTTTGTTATAAAAATATAAAGCCCTGAGTGAGCTTTTAAAAATCACAGTGGTAGTTGGTTTGATTTCTGTTTATTGGTAATAAAACTGTTCAAGGGAAGAATTATTGTTCTCCTTCCTGGAATAATTACTGAATTGTTGGATCCTGAGAGTGTAGTTTTAGAATGCTCACTCAGTTCCCTTGCCTTTAAAATTGAACTAATACTGAGTTCAGTATGGTTTTTACTTTCCATTCCTGGGAAGTGATTTCTGTCAGATGTAACTGTGTGACTCTTGCTTTTGAAGTACTGTCCAGGAGGAGAGCTGTTTGACTACATAATCTCCCAGGATCGCCTGTCTGAAGAGGAGACCCGAGTCATCTTCCGTCAGATACTGTCTGCAGTTGCATATGTGCACAGCCAGGGCTATGCCCACAGGGACCTCAAACCAGTAAGTGACCCGGTCTCAGATGCTCACCTGAGAGTTGAGCATGGTCTGCCTTTTATTTTCAGGTATCCAGGTGTTCTGTTTAAAAACCCACCAGTTTTTCTCCTTAGTTTTTTGTTTTAGTCAGAGTCTGTCACAAACAATTTTCTTTCTTAATAGTTTCATCACTTGTCAGTTGTATGTGACATTGGATACCCTTGGAATCAAGATTTTATCCTTGGCAAAGATGTACCATTGAGGGTTTTCCATTCAGTGATCTTCTGTTTTTGTTTGAGACGATGTCTACCTATATAGCCTAGGCTGGCCCCAGGTTCTGATACTCCTATCTTAGCTACCTATAATGCTGAGATTATATTTCTTTAATTTCAAACCATTACTCCCCAGAAGGGAACAGTTCAGTAGAACTGACAGATTATAATTTTAAAGGATTGAAGAAAGATGTGAACAGTCTTTTTAATCTTTAGGCTCTAATGTGGGTGATACTGAGTATATATTTACATGTAACTTTGTAAAACAGGGTCAGGGACCTAGAGTAGGTCTGTGGCAGTGTTATCACCTTTTCATGTTTTTAATAGCTCACTCTTCAGTCTGAGCTCTGTTTGGTCTTAAACTTGCCTTTGGCAGAAATTGTCTTCACTTGTAGTTGGCCCTCAGAGTGCTAAGGAGAAATGGTTTGTCCTCCTTTTCTTTACCTTATTCTTTAAAATGATCTCAGAGTTTGCTATTTTGGCTAGACTGTTTGGACAGTGAGTCTCAGGTATACTCCTCCTTCATCTCCTCAGAGCTGGGATTAGAGGTGTGTGTTGTCATGCCTGGTTTTTAACATGGGTGCTGGGGGTCTGAACTTAGTCATGTTTGCATAGTGAGCACTTTATCCACTGAGTTATCTCCCCAGACCTCTCTCTTTTTCTTTCTTTTTGTGTTTCTAAGGAAAATGCTCTTCCTCTCCTTGTCTTCTTCTTCTTCTTCTTCTTCTTCTTCTTCTTCTTCTTCTTCTTCTTCTTCTTCTTCTTCTTCTTCCCCCCTCCTACCTCCCCTCCCCTCCCTTCCCTTCTCACCTCTTTCTTCCTTTTGGTGGTGGTGGTGGGGGAGACAGGGTCTCACTATATAGCCCTGGCTTACCTGGAACTCACTGCATAGACCAGGCTAGCCTCAAAAAGATCCCCTTGCTTCTGCTTGCTTAGTACTAGGATCAAAGGTGTGTGCTTACTCAAGCTATATCTTTTTCTTGTCTTTTCATTAGGTTTTAGTGATGTTTTAACTTATGTTGGACCTCAGCTTTAAATAGAAACAACTCTAAATCAGTTTTATTTTATTTTTTTAAAGATTTTATTTATCATGTATACAACATTCTGCTTCCATATATATCTGCACACCAGAAGAGGGCACCAGATCTCATAACGGATGGTTGTGAGCCAACATGTGGTTGCTGGGAATCGAATTCAGGACCTCTGGAAGAGCAGTCACTGCTCTTAACCTCTGAGCCATCTCTCCAGCCCCCTAAATCAGTTTTAGAAATGGGTAAAGGTGGGATGTGATACAAGGAAATCAGAATACAGTTATCAAAGTATCTTTGTTTTCCAGGAAAATTTATTGTTTGATGAATATCATAAATTAAAGCTGATTGATTTTGGTCTCTGTGCAAAACCCAAGGTAAGTGTGAAAATAAATACAATTATGTCTATAAGTATACCTGTTGCTGTGTTATTTTGCAATGACTTTCACTTAATCTTTATTGAGCTTAGTTACATCCATTTTGAAAAATATTAAATTTTATCCTTCATATGGGCAGTTTTATAAGTTTGCTAGATAATTCTGAGATGGAGCCAAGTGTGAGCCACCACTGTAGTTCTAAGATTTGTCCCTACAGGTAAGCTAAGAATCTGTAATGCCAGGTAACATGAAGCCATTATACTATAAATATATGTTGGCAGTTTGAGTGTGTTACCATTAGGTAATGCCTTTGTTCATTTGTATAGAAGTTGAGAATTTGGTGTGTATCTAGTTTTTAATTATCCAGATGGTTATATAACTAAGAATTAGTTACAGTCTGAGGTGATTCCCCTTCCTTATGGAAGAAGAGGGGGAATGAATGACCATCGGCTTCTACATTTATACTGCTTGGAATTGCCCTAATTTGCATTCCATAGGTAAGACCTGTTGTTCTCCAGCATAACTTCTCTTTGAGGTGACTTTGAACTTCTCAGTTCAGCTCAGCTCTGCAGCAGGTCTCCTGTGTGGCTGCTTGTTTGAGGCTTCCTTCTGGGTTCTCTAATGATGGCACTTTGTTGCTAAAATGAGCTGTCTACACTCATTAAGAATGTTGAAATTGCAGATTCCTCTCAGCCCTTTGTAGTCCCATGATTATTTCCTGCCCCTCAGAATTAGAATGGTGCAGAGGGAAGCACATTTTGCCTCTTCAGTTTTGAACGTCTGGTTCTTTCTGATTCTTCTCCCACTGATGTCTATTCTGAGATTGTCAGTGGAGGCTTGTGTCTGGGAAGCAGATGATTCAGAAGGCAGTTTAATTCTTTTTACAGGCATAAAGCATACGAAGCTCATCCTTTGACAGATAAGTTACATTCTCTACAGGAGGTGGGTAGGGATGTTTGTGGAAGACTGCATTAGCTTTTTTTTTTTTTTATGGCTGCCACAGATTCAACTCACATAGACACCATCTAAGAAAATGAGGGTAGTCTGGGAAAGATGGCCTTAGCCTCTGTGGGGCTCTCACTTTTGTGCCTGTTTCATTTATAAACAAAATCTTAGGATTTCTAGGTTCTTTGCCCCCTGTAGGGCTCAGCATAGGAGTGCAGCAGTAGCTTCATTTTCATAAGGCCTATGTTTCTGTGGGAGAGCAGAGGAGGTTGGTAGATCACCAGTTAAGGTGGTGATTTGTCTTACCACAGGGTCTGGACAACAGATTAGAAATGCATCTCCTACTTACCAGTTTCTTCTTCCTGTATTTGTAAAGATTTGATGTTAAAGATAGGGACTTGAATTCTGTGGGTATTCCTTGAGTACTTGAATAGATGTGAGGTTGATTACTATGCAAATGAGGGAAATATGGACTTGATTTGACTTAACTAAGGGAAAAAGATCTTGTTCCTGTGAGGTTGAGTGGTATTGGAAATCCAGAGAATCACAATTGGCATTTGCAGAAATCTTTTGATTATTTTGAATACTTCTTTGTTTTGTTTTGTGACAATTTTCCTGTGTAGCGTGGCTGTCCTGGAACTCACTCTCTAGACCAGGCCCAGACTGGCCTCAAATTCAGAGATCTGCCTCCTGAGTGCTGGGAGTGAAGGTGTGTGCCATCACACCTGCCATGGGATAGTTCTTTATCTAGTCTTTCTTTGAGTTCAAAGGGGAGAGTTTATCAAAGTTTAATGTTTTCAATGTTTATTTTTGTTTTTTTTGAGATGGACTTATATAGCCCAGACTGGTTTCAGGCTTTCTATGTAGTCGAGTCTGCCCTTAAACTTCTGATCCTCTTGCTTCTACTGTCCAAGTGCTGGGATTACAAATGTATACATTGCTGGGCATTGGTGGCGCACACCTTTAATCCCAGTACTGGGGAGGCAGAGGCAGGCAGATCTTTGTGAGTTCGAGTCCAGCCTGGTCTCCAGAGTGAGTGCCAGGATAGGATCTAAAGCTACACAGAGAAACCCTGTCTCAAAAAAAAAAAAAAAAAAAAAAACCAAACCCCCAAAAAACAAATGTATACACCATGATTAACTTGAGATTTGCTATTCTTAGAGGCTATAACTAATCAGTGTTCCATTTTTATGTTACGGTAGGGCAACAAGGACTACCATCTACAGACATGCTGTGGGAGTCTTGCTTATGCAGCACCTGAATTAATACAAGGCAAATCGTATCTTGGATCAGAGGTAATTGTTACTGATTAGTTTAGAGATATATTTCTGTCAGCTTCATTGTGGTTGCTCTTTTATAAAGTTTGCTATAGTTTGAACTGGTTAGGTCAGCTAGGTATGGCCCAAGCGGCACACCCAGTTTTCAAAGATGCTTATTAGCACAGAAAAAACTATCCTTTATGTGTTGCTGACACCCCAAGGCCAGTGGTCCTGTCAAGTGTCCCTGCTCAGAAGGCCTGGCTTTACCCCTTTTACCCTTTCTCTTTCAAGTTTATCAGCCCCTCTTATTCTCTGGAGTTTGGTGTTGCTGGCGTTAGTGAAATAAAATATGACTTGTCAGAATCTTAGGGGTTGCTGGACTGAAGTGAGCATTTCCTGTCTTGCATACACTCTTGTACAGTGGGATCTTTGGAGGGGAAACAGCACAGGTGGCAGCTAGTCCCAGCTTTCTTTACCTGCATAACCTACTTTCCTGTGGAACATCTCTGGGGAGAAGTGCTATGTGGGAGAACTTTAGAAATACCAGCTTACTTAATTTGGAACAGGAGTAGATAGGAATTTGTATATTTTTAGGGACTTCATTTTGATCTCAAATTTAAAGTATTGTACAAAAATAGAATTAAGAACTTTGGCATATTTTTATTTAAATTTGTAATTATTTACATTTTCCCCTATTTTTTTTTTTTTTTTTTTTTTTTTTTTTTAAGGTTTTTTTTTGTTGGT